TGGAAAATACTGATTATAGTGATGATTTTTTGATAGTAGATAAGTGATTTATTTTATCCTTCCATATGTTTTTCTGTGCAGTTTTACATAAAGTAACACTAGTTTGCAGAAATGTTTAGGGAAAAAACAGCAACACAGGTATGGAGAGTCACCATGAAAAAAAAAAAATAGACTTAACAGTCAAAAGAGTGTCCTCTCTAGAGGGTTTGCTGTTCTACATTCTAAAATGAATAACAGGGAGAATATAATTCTGATTGCAGAACCTAATAAAGTTCTACTTCTTTTTTAAATATATTTTTATTGATTTCAGAGAGAAAGAGAGAGGGAGAAAACGATAGAAACATCAATGATGAGAAAGAATCATTGATCGGCTACCTCCTGCATGCCCCCACTGGGGACTGAGCCTGCAATCCGGGCATATGCCCTTGACTGGAACTGAACCCAGGACCTTTGAGTCTGCAGGCCAATGTTCTATCCACTGAGCCAAACAAGCTAAAACAGGGAGTTCTACTTCTTGGCTTTGCAGAATTACTGCAGCTCTAAGCAAGCAAAAGTAAGTTAACATTTGGAAGAAGCAGAGAAACATGAAGGTAGATCTTTTTCTTATCACTGCCTTCGAAAATACACTAATCATGAAAGTAAGCCTTGACTTGTGTCCCAGCAAGATAAAGAAAATCAAGCCTGATATAAAATGATTGGCTATGCTCTTTTTAAATTATTTTCTTTATTGATTAAGGTATTACATATGTGTCTTTATCCTCCCATTGCCCCCCCAACCCCCACTCATGCCCTCACCCCCCTGTTGTCTATGTCCATTGGTAAGGCTTATATGCTCTTGGCTATTCTTTTTATTTCCCTTTACTTTGCTTGGCAAGGTGATAGCTCTATATATAGGAGCTTCTCACTTGGCTCCACTGATAAGTTAGAGGAGGTGGTACTAGAAAGAAGCTGAATTTATGGGAATTCTCTAAGGCAGTTCAAATGATGTTAGTAATTTTTAAAAAGCTACAATGAATGTATATGACACTTAGAGTTTTCTTTTTCAGAAGGTTTAGCAGAAAAAAGATCAAGAAATCAATTAAAAGAATTTATTTTCCATTTGAAGTACAGCCCTGAGTCCCAAAACATAAAATCTCATCCCTGCAGGAAACACAGATGATTTCAATAGCTGTACTTCCAGAAGAAGTATAAGTTTTCATTTCAACTAAAATATTCTCCTGGTCTTTCATGTTATTTTAGGGGTTTTCTAAGAGGTGATACTTCACAGGCACCTAGAAGTAGTGTTTGGATGGAAATACATCTTATCCTCAGGCTATACCATTGTCCAATTTGTCTTACCTGTCTGAACTGGGGGCTGATTTCAAATGCCGAAAATTTCGGCTATCTAAGTCCATGCTGTAGCTCTACCCACTTTCAGCTTTTGGAGTTATGATGATTTCTCCTCTGGTTGCTGATCTGAACTTGCTAAGAAGAAATCTGAAGGTATATAAGTAACTATACAGTGGGGCCTTGACTTACGAGCATCCCGACTAACGAGTTTTTCGAGATACGAGCCGTCTCTCTGCCGATTTTTTGCTTTGGGTTGCGAGCTAAAATTCGGGTTATGAGCCAGCTTCAGATACCCCACGGCTAGTTGGTGCAGCGAACATCACAGTGAATGCCACAACATCAGCCCAGCATCACGTGTCTCACTCGTTCACTTTTGATTTGACATACGAGTAATTTGAGTTATGAACTCCGTCATAGAACGAATTAAACTCGTAAGTCAAGGCCCCACTGTATTTAAAATATAAGAAATAAAGCATTTTAAAATATAATTTCAAAAATACCACTTTTAGTGCTTTCAACAGTAAATGATTTTTTAATAAAGTGTCCTTGGGACTGAGAGGTTGTGGGGAGGTCCCATACCTCTACAGTACAGTGTCAATGGTAGTAATAGAAGAAATTATGACATTCTCACAAGGCCATAACACTTGCTGGTAAGTCAGGCCTCTGTCCATACTAAGAAAAATGCAACTGACTGGGAACTCACCACTCCCTGGGTTGAGCCTGTTTCCAGGAGTGTTGAGAAAAAAAGAACTTAAATTCACTTTGAGGGGAGCTCAGATGATCCTCTGGGACAAACGGAGGTGGCAGCTTATTAGACTGCAGCTCCATGACAGCCACAAATTTGACCTTGATACTTCCTGCCAATATGCCCCTGAGCATAAACTGATGCCTGGCAAATACTAGAACCCAACCAATTTTTGTAGAATGAATGACTAAGCCCATGTGGTTGGAACTATCTTTATCTCTTCTATAACATTTTTCCCTGTTGTACTAAAGTGTGAAGAGTGGAGTGTCTCATATAGTATGAAACCTGATTGCATTTCACTAAATTATTTAGAACTTGAACAAAAATAGCTTTTAGAAACTAAGGTTCAAGTCATGATCCACGCTACTAATGCCCCAAACATAGGGTTTTCAAATGTGCTTTAATAAAAAAGTTGTATTATTTTTGTGATGGCTCTGGGAGAGACCAGTTCATTTACTCAACATTCTACAGTTTTCTAAGGAGGAAATGTATTCAAAGGTACTAGGACAATCTTGATGGAATCTGCCAAGTTATCTCTGTTTCAAAAACACTGGAAGACTATCTTGTCTAAAGCTTGAATCTAACTAGAAAATTAGATTTTTTGTTGAGAATAACACTTAATATAATCTTAACCTGTGCTGCTCTGAGACCCACCTGGCACATGTCCTCACCTCTGAACTTCTACTTAAGGTGTCTTCTCTACCTTAATCACTCTCCCCCTTTTTGCTATCTTGGACCCCAACTATCTTTCAAAGTCCTCATCAAGTCCCACTTACAATTTGATGTCTTTCCTAATGTCTCCTGTGTCCTCCTGACAATGATTATCTATGCCACTTATTTAACATTTACTTAATTATCTACTGACTTATGACATCTCTTGTAGTTAATACCTTGCCTTGTTTTAGAAAGGCTTTCAAGCAGCTCATATTATCACCTTATAGTTTCCTAAATTTCTTCTATACATATTAAAATTTCAGGTATGTACCTTTTCTCCCCAACTAGGTGTTTACATTCCTTGAAGACCGAGAACCATCAGATCACAATTCTGAGTTCCAGAGGGGCTCAGTCCAGTGCTATGACTATTTTTTTTTTAACAATTCCAGGTGTATATAATTCATTGTGTGGACAGCTACTTACTAGTATTTTCTCTAAGCTCCAAGCTCAGTATTTTGATGTAAACCTATGCAGTGGTGCCTAAATTGGGGTCTGCAAACTACAGCTCCTAGAAGCAAGCACCTGTGGGATCTGAGTTACTTATTCAATCAAGCCATTGATTGTTTTTGACAAGCCAGGCACCATGCTGTAGCACAAAAACAAAAAAGCAACAGGCCCAGTACCAAGGGAGCTTACAATTAAGTATATGTGTGTGTACGTGGTGGGGGGGAGGGCAGTGTGTGTGTGTGTCAGAATGCAATGTAAGGAGTGATGCACAGGCACAGGGAGTTATGAGGAGTGATGAATGCAACATGATAGGAAGAATCAATACATGGGATGTATGGTCACTCTAGGCTATCTTTTCCATTCATTCTGCTAATTAATGAAGACATGGTTAGTCATAAGTGTTTTAGTTAGAAGACCTTTAGGTTTCATTCCTACTTGCAGTTCAAAATTCTAAAAAATAAAAATAAAAAACCAACTTTCTGTAGAACCAGAAAAAGTCTCAAACACTGGCAGTCTCTCACATTGATTTCTGATGAGAAAATGATGCAATACTACCTGGAAATTACCATAAAGTAATTTGGTGCATATTAGAACTCTCACTACCTCAGCCACAAAACTAATCAACAGCTGCCTGAGAAATGAAGACTGAAAAATGTTGTGAAGCAGTAGTTTGACTTTTGGTCCTTGTAGCCAGAGTTTTATGGGCCACTTTTCCCCCTTGGTGGAACTCTTGTCCCCACTTTTCCAGGCCTCCTTGAATCTTATTTCCTGACTAGAGGCCCGGTGCATGAAATTTGTGCACTGGTGGGGGATGGGGGTCCCTTCAGCTCAACCTGCACCCTGTCTAATCCCGGACCCCTCAGGGGATGTCCAACTGCCAGTTTAGGCCTGATCCCAGGGATCGGGCCTAAACTGGCAGTCGGACATTCTCACAATCCTGGACTGCTGGCTCCTAATTGCTCACCTGCTTGCCTGGTCACCCCTCACTGCCTCTGCATGCTGGCCTGATCACCCCTAACTCCCCCCCTCTGCCAGCCAGGTCACCCCAACTGCACCCTCCCTGCTGGCCTGATCGCTCCTAACTGCGCCCCCCCCTACCCCCGCCGACCTGGTCACCCCATGCAGCCTGCCGTTCAGTTGTTTGGTCATTTCTCACTAACTCCCCTGCCGATCTGGTCATAGGCAGCCATTTTGTGAGGGTGTGACAGTCAATTTGCATATTACCTATTTATTATATAGGACATGTATCCTATTACTATTCTCAGTAACTGACACATACATTTACTTTGTAAATTGTAACTGAGGTGCCAAATGTGATTTTTCCCCTTAAGAAAGCCTGCATTTTAAACAGGGGATATAAGGTTTCCTGTCCAATTAATAAGTATTTGATTTGGATATTTCACATATCAGCACTCAGGATGGGGGGAGGAGTGTTGACATTCTACAACAAAATCAGTCATCACCTCTTAATGTACAGGACTAGCCCTGACTTGAAACCTACCTAAAAGGTAGGTAACTACTTGGTACAAGACTGGATATATCAAATGCAAGAAAAACTCTTAGATGTTCAGATCAGAGGGAACTTTTATTCACCTAAGACTGAAAGTAATTAAAACTGCATTTCCTCAGGAGAATGTAACCTTCGTTGAGGCTCTGACCTTCTCTGGGTCACTGAAGTGACATCAAGACTTCAAATACTGAGGAGTCTTTATTTCAGAGGTGTCCAGAATAAAGGTAAAAAATTCCCTTGGAAAGGCTGTCTTACCCTTTTTTCTTGGACTCATCATGGCTGGCCTTCTGCCCTGTAGAAGTTGAAGCGTTTGACTTTTCTGCATCCTGGTGGTTTTTCTCTTGGCTTTGTATTTCTTTAGCTCCTCATTAAAAATAATCAGAAGACAAATTCACATACAAAATGGCTAGAAATGAGAACAATTTTCTATTCTTCATCCACTTTCCTACATTAGCACAAGACAAAGAAGTCTATAATAATTGTCAATGATATGTCCAGCCCTTCCTGCCAGACTTTAAAACAAAGGCATTAGTCTCCAGTATCTTCTAGGAACAGGCCAGAAGATACCTTTACTACACCACACATGGGAAATATGTTCCTAAACACAAGTTTTATCCAATATTTAACAATTAAATTATAGTTTGAATGCACAGAATAGCATTCTCAGGGTGGGCTGTTATTCACATTTGGTGACAATGTAATTCTTCATTGAGTGAAACTGCCCTGTGCTTTTAAGACTATGGAATATCTCTGACATCTGACTGCTAAATGCCATTAAACCCCACCCTTGCATTTCTAAATGCTCCCCTTGATTGGGGGAGGAGGCACAATGCACAATATCACGTCTTGGTTGAGAACCACTGGATTAGATACAGTAACATATAAAAGAAATCTGAAAAACATCTTGTTGAAAAGTCAAGGATTGCCCTAACCGGTTTGGCTCAGCTGATAGAGCGTCAACCTGCGCACTCAAAAGTCCCAGGTTCGATTCCGGTCAAGGGCATGTACCTTGGTTGCAGACACATCCCCAGTAGGGAGTGTGCAGGAGGCAGCTGATGGATGTTTCTCTCTCACTGATGTTTCTAACTCTCTATCCCTCTCCTTTTATCTCTGTAAAATATCAATAACATATATTTTTTTAAAAAAATAAAAGTCAAGGATTGTTTTTACAATGTGACAATGTGAGTTATTTAATTCATGTGGTTTGTGTTACTTTCTTAAATATTTAGTAAAATATTGTAAGTGAATTCAGTAAAAGAACTGTCTATGATGAAGATAAATATCTTCTTTAAGAATCTGTGTATCATATATATAGAAAATCATTGTGTATTATTTATTTATTTATTTCCTCTTCCCTTGTATGAATTGCAAGTTTATATTTCATGTTTTGAAATGACCTAAGACAGTGGTCGGCAAACTCATTAGTCAACAGAGCCAAATACCAACAGTACAATGATTGAAATTTCTTTTGAGAGCCAAATTTTTAAACTTAAACTATATAGGTAGGTACATTGTTACTAACTTAATTAGGGTACACCTAAGGCTTAAGAAGAGCCACACTCAAGGGGCCAAAGAGCTGCATGTGGCTCGCGAGCCACAGTTGGCCAACCATGGACCTAAGAGATTCAGAAAATTTAACTGTGCTCATTTGCTACATAATTGAGGGAAGTTATTTAGCCTGCAAAAATGAAGAGTAAAACAATTTTGAAACCAAATAATTGCTTAAATTACCTGGATTTCTTCTTAAGATGGACTGCCGGAGAACATCAGTGCCTAGAACATTGACTTGCTTGAAACGTTTTGCCTTTTCTTCAAAAAACCATTCACCAGTTATAATCCTCAGCTGCCTGCACAGGGCAAAAAGGAGTAACATTGAAATTCAGTTATTTAGCTAAATATATATCTCTCAAAAATCCCGAATTAAGTAAAAAACTGGCAGTTATTTATAGAGTCCATCTCAATCTCTGCAGTATTATATGGTGGTTATTATGGTCAGTATTAGTTGAATATATACTATGTACCAGGAACTGGGTGATTGATTTTTATACTTAGTATATTTTACCCACATAACAACTCTATATAAACATTATTATCCCCATTTTACAGATGAAGAAATTCAGACAGAGCAATAAAATGACATGTCCCACAACACATAGCTGGTAAATAGGAGAGTTAGGATCCCATCCCAAGCAGTCTGGCTTAGGGCTCATGTTCTTAACTACTGAATTAGTAGGTAAATAATTTTCAGTAGAAACAGTGGGGGACACATGAAGGTTTTGAATTAAAAGGACCCATGATAAGACTGTTTTAGAATGACAACTTACTTGTAATATGATGATGGGGTTAGAGTAACGAGAGAATGGGACAAAGAGACAGATTGGCCATGACAATAATCCAGAAGAGATATGACAAGACCCATGCTAGGGCAATGGCAAGACTAACAGAGAGGAGAGGAAAAATTAAAAATGTAGGTGGTAAAAGGGCTTGCCTGAATTTCACAACCAATTGAATGTTGAAGGTAAAAAATAAGGATCTTTGAATAATCAAAGACACCTTTTAAGCCCCACTTGCAATAGTAACACAAACTCTTTACCCCAATTACAAAGGCCTATTACCAGAACATGGACCATCTCTAGCATTGGGAAAATAGTATTCAATAACCACTGTCCCAACACTTCTATGGAAGATTGTAATTGAAAATGAGGTTGAAAGATAGGATTCAGTCATATAATGGAAATCTTTGAATGTTATGCTAAAGTTACAATGCCATTCCGAAGGCAATGGAGGAACTCTGGCAGTTTTTTTAAAGTTTATAATCTCTGGAATATTATATGGAGAAGGGAAAAGCCAGAAGCAGACAGGCCAATTAGGATGTTATTGCAATAGATGACATATAAAATTATGAAGATGTAAACCAGGGTATCATAGGGCAAGGGATGAAAAGAAATATGTAGATACTCAAGTCACTGAGGATGAGAATCAGCAAAACTGGTGACAAATCCAATATGGTGGCTGAAGAAAAGCAGCTGAGACTCAAATAGAGATTTCTAGATCCAGAATATTATATCCATGTGATTCAGAAACTGATTGGACTTAGAAAACAACAATTGGATTCTAAATATAAAAATCACTCCAGAAAAATATGCTAAATTATTACCAAAGCATTTACCCTGAAATCTGATTTCTGAACACATGATAAAAGGTAAATTATAAAGTTTTTTTTTTTTTATTGAGGAAAGAATAAAAATGTTATCCTTGGAGCAAATTATTCATTGAAAAGAAAGACATCTCATGTACATCACAGATTTGTTTCCAAGTTGCTAGATCACCTAATGGGAAGCAAGGACTGTTGAATTAGCTCCAAAACTGTATAAAATATGCTTATAAAATATGTCAAATCTAAGAAGATCTAATCTAGAAAAACAAATGTTTGAATGGTTTAAATTATTTCTGTATACATCTCAAGTGCTCTATGGCCTTACATATCATTATTTAAAAATCTAAATAAAATAAAATAAAATAAAAATCTAGGTGGTAATTGTGCTATTCTAAATTCTAAGACTATCTCATCAAGGTTCCCATCCCTTAGTTGTTAAGCCAAATGATAATCTAGCTACTGCTATGATTAAACTTTGTTTATGGAATTAAAATTTCTAATCATCTCACCCTAAAATAGGGAGATTGTCCTAGATCAGGGGTGGGCAACCTTTTTGTGAGTGCGTGCCAAAACCAGGAAAATCTCTGACTCAAAATTCTTCTGTGTGCCAACCCTAATTATTTGAGAACATGTTATGCCTACTTGATATCTCTTAAGGTGTACCTATGTAAAGAACCTTGAAGAAATAATAAAATTCATTCAAGCGACAAAAACACAGCATATGATGATGAAAAATACATTTATTTTTTAATGTATACATGTACACTGATAGTCCGACAGAAAACTTTATGACTCCGTTTGATAGTATCAGTGGGACTTTTGCTGCTGCATCACTGATGACAGAGATTTGACATCAGGTTTATATTGTGTGACCTTCAGGGATATGCATGAGCTACTACTTTCATCCACCAGGCTACTCCTATTATGAGACTTAACAAAATTCATCACTGAGAACAAAGATTCACAAGTGTATGTGGATGAAAACATGGAGAGTAACGCTGTTGCAAAGTTTTTTAAGCAGAAAAAAATTTCTGGAATGGCATTCCAAGTCCTCAATAGTTCGTTTTCGACACTTCTCTCTGGTACTCCTGTCTCTAATCGCTTTTTTTCAATGTTTTCCAAGTCAACTCTAAGGTCAATAAATTTCTGCTTCCAAATTGAGCTACTCTGAAATTCAATTAACTGCATTTGAAAGTCAGCCATGTCTATCCATGAAAACATTTGTAAATTTAGTTCCTCCAGTTTCATGCTGTCTCTAAACCTCATGAATTTTGCTGTCTCTTCCAGTTCTCTGAATTTCACAAATCTTGAGAAGAACTGCTCAATAGTTGACTCGATGATGTTTAAAAACAGCTTTTGAAGGCTTTGACAGTCTGTTCTGTCATCTTTTGGAAGGTCTTTGATGTGCCTCTTGAGGTTTGGGAGATATCTAAATCTCTCACCGTCCACATCCCTCTTAAAGACTTCCAGTTTCTTTTCAAAAACTTTTATGTACCAAACATAACATCAAGTGTCTTGCCAGTTCCTTGTAATTTAACATTTAAGTCATTCAAATATTCACAAAAATCTGCAAAGAACATCAGTTTAGAAACCCACATTGCGTCAGACAATTCTTGGTAAGAAACATGTTGGTTATTCAAGAAGAGTGTTATCTTGTTTAAGCATTCAATGAATCGTTTCAGAACCAAACCTTGGCTAAGCCATCAAACATTGTTGTACATTTTCAGTCCTTTATACACAGATTCTACCTCATTCAGTAAAACTTGAAATTGTCTCTTATTTAAAGCCCGAGCAGAAATGTAATTAACAACTTTGGTAACTGTTTGCATCACTTCCTGCAGTTCAATCAGGCCAGCTTTTGCACATAAAGCCTCCTCATGTATGATGCAATGAAAACCTATCAGTGTATGACCAACTTCTTTCGCAAACAGATTTACAAAACCTGCCTTCACACCAGTCATGCAAGGAGCACCATCAGTGGTGAAGGACACTACTTTTGAAAGGTCAATTTGTTGAGAAGAGAATTCTTTCGTAACTGCTTTACATATTTCAGCCCAGGTAGTGTGCTCAGGTAGAGTTAGAAGGACAACCATCTCTTCACATATTTCATCACCTTTACAAAGTCGAGAAAAAATGGCCAGCCTAGATGACGATGTAATGTCTGTACTTTCATCAATACAAATAGAAAAAAATTGACATGAAGACAAATCTTTTCTTAATTGTTCAGCAGTATTACTCGCCAACTTAAGTATCCTATCCTTAACTGTTTTCCTGCTCACGGACAAATCTTTAATGCGCTGAATAATCTTTTCTTTTTCTGATAAATCATCAAAAAGGAAAGGTGCACATTCTAGCCAAGCTTCTTTAATATACTCTCCATCACTGAGTGGTTTTCCATGCTGGGCAATGACTTTGGAAACTTCAAAACTAGCAGTAACTAAGTTGAAACTGGACCTGCCTGAGATGAAGTTCATAAAATTATCAGCCTGTTTTTTGTTTTGCTGAGTTCACGTGAAATTAATTCTCTTTGTTCCTCTTCTGTTTTATTGCTTATGTTATTATGAACACTTTCAAAAATGCCTTTTTACAGAAGATGTTCTGCAAACAACAGTTTCAGAACAGAAAACACATAAGGCTTTGTTGTCTTTCTTAATCACACCAAACTTTTCTGTCCAGTATTTTTGAAATTCTCTAACATCCTCTTCAGCTGAACGACATCGTTTCTTAGCTGGTGGTCCTGACATTCTGCACAATCTAGAAGGACAGAAAAAATACATGAGATGATGGTATATGTGAAAAAGGTGAAAGAAGAAAAGTAAAATGTCAGTAAGTGATTAATTAGCTTGATCAAACTACTGTACTGCTATTACTTTTTTAATTAGAATAAATAGAAAGAAAAATAGTTTGCTATCCCTACAAAATGGTAATATGGGCACGACGCAGGGAACAGTAAAGATAAGGCATGTAAAATATCACAAAATGTAGAACCTTTATTTATAAATCATAATACATTGTATGCATATCAGTTGTTATTATTTTTATTTATAAAGTTTGGTTTATGGATAACAACAAAAATGTGACAAACTAAAAATATTTCCTAAGGAAAATAACAGAATAAAGAAGAAAACATAGACAAATACAGCATAATGTAATAGAAGTATGGTAATTATGTAACTTACTTTTCAGCGCAGACGGATATGGTGTGATGATGACGTCACCGCGTTACTGCTGTAGCGCGCATTGAGAGAAACATAGAAATTTATTCCCCTTTCGTTAGGACTGGTGGACAAAGCGAGAGAGAAGTTTCATTTTTATAGAGTGAAATTTTGAATAAGTAGGTAAGGCGGTTGTCTTGTCAATGAAAACCCGCTGCGTCTGAGGCTGAAACCAAAACACAGGTCAGATCTAGGAAGGCAGGGAGAGTTAAGGCAGAGGCATAGAAATTGCTCTTCCCCTCTCTCGTCAATCCATGTCTATGGTCTTTAAGATAAATTGTTATGTAAAATTATTAATTTATCTAAGATGCACCTACACTGAATTTATCTGAAAAACAAAAAAGTCTATATTAAGAAAAAAATTGTAAATGGAAGATTGTAAGAGAGGGTTTCAAGTGCCAGCAAAAGTTACTGGCATGTCATGTTTGGCACGCATGCCAGGGGTTGCCCACCCCTGTCCTAGATTATCTTTATG